GTTTTCAATTTGTGTGGAATTTTTTTGTTTTATTTTTTTTTTTTTTTTTTGATGGGCGCACATGTTCATTTAATTTTGAAGGTGCTCGAGCACAACAAATTAATAACATGGTACTGAAGCATAACAAAATTTCTTACAATTTATGTTGTTCTGTGCAAATAACTAATTTTCACATACCACATCAATGTGTGTCTGTCTAGTTTGCACATGCTCATACAGTCATATTGATGCAACAATGTTGTGAAAATTATTGGCGAAAAAAAGAGAAAAACCAAACAATAACTAAAAGAAAACAATCAATAATAGTAAATAACACTTGAATAAAAACAAAAGACTTAAGAAAGAAACTTGTTAGAAATAACAAACCAACAACAAATTGAGTGAGAGTATAAAAGTGTGAGTGTTTTAAAAGAGAATTGAGTGATTTTTTTTTTTTGGTTTGTTTTGTTTTGTTGTCAAACTTCAGCTGGAAAATGTAAACAAAAATTAAGAATGAAATGGTAAACAAAAACAAAGTAGACTTAGGCAATACCAAAACCGGTTTAAAAAGTCGAAAAGTTTAAAAATATTTGTTTATATTTTTTTGTTTAGTTTAAAGGAATAAAAACAAAGCAAACAAAATAATAACCCACAGTCCTATAAAGACTATGCTACAAAATGATCTATAGTGAAGACTATCTATAGTCAATATTACAGATCTACAGTCAAGACTATAGACTGAACTATACTCAAGACTACAGACTAATCAATACTGAAGACTATAGACTGATCTATAGACAAGACCACAGACTGACCTATGTGATATGGAACACGATCCTTCAATATTACATGCTACACGTTCAATACATATCACAATACAGCAAATATCACGATATATATTGAACGTGTGACACTGCCCTATAGTTAGGACTATAACTTGATTTATAGTCAAGACTATATACTGATCTATAGTCTGGACTATAAATTGATCTATAGTCAGGGCTATAGACTGAACTATACTCAAGACTATAGACTGATCTATAATCAAGACTTTAGACTGATCTATAGTCAAGAACATAGACAGATCTATAGCCAAGACTATAGACTGATCTATAGTCAAGACTATAGACTGATCTATAGTCAAGACTATAGACTGCTCCATAGTCGAGACTATAGACAGATCTATAATCAAGACTATAGACAGATCTATAGCCAAGACTATAGACTGATCTATAGTCAAGACTATAGACTGATCTATAGTCAAGACTATAGACTGATCTATAGTCAAGACTATAGACTGATCTATAGTCAAGACTATAGACTGATCTATAGTCAATACTATAGACAGATCTATAGCCAAGACTATAGACTGATCTATAGTCAAGACTATAGACTGATCTATAGTCAAGACTATAGACTGATCTATAGTCAAGACTATAGACTGATCTATAGTCAAGACTATAGACTGATCTATAGTCAAGACTATAGACTGATCTATAGTCAAGACTATAGACTGATCTATAGTCAATACTATAGACTGATCTATAGTCAATACTCTAGACTGATCTATGGTTAAGACTATAGACTGATTTATAGACAGATCTATGATCAAGACTATAAACTAATCTATATTCTAGACTATAGACTGATCTATACTCAAGACTATAGACTGATCCATAGTCAAGACTATAGACTGATGTATAGTCAAGACTATAGACTGATCTATAGTCAAAATCTATACTCCATACTTTAGAATGATCTGATCTTTAGCCAAGACTGTAAACTGAGCTATAGTCCAGATTTTAGACCGATCTATACAGTCTATATATTGTCCAGATTATAGATTGTAGAATGATCTATAGTCCAGATTATAGACTGATCTATAGTCCAGACTATAGACTGGTCTACAGTCCAGATTATAGACTGATCTATAGTCAATACTATAAACTGATCTTTGCCCAAGACTGTGAACTGATCTATAGTCAAGACTATAGACTGATCTACAGTCAAGACTGTAGACTGATCTATAATCAAGACTATAGGCTGATCTATAGTCAAGACTATATACTGATCAATAGTCAAAACTACATACTGATATATAGTCAAGACTATAGACAAATCTATAGTCAATACTATATATTGATCTATTGTAAAGACTATAGACTGATCTAGAGTTAAAACTATACACTATCTAAGGTCAAGAATAGCGACTGATCTACAGTCAAGATTATAGAGTGATCTGCAGTTAAGACTACATACTGATCCATAGTCAAGATTATAGAATTACCGATAGTCAAGAATGTAGACTGATAGATAGTCAAAATTATAGACTGATTAATAGTCAAGCCTATAGGCTGATTTGAAGTCAAGACTATTTATTGAACTTTAATCCATATAACAGACTGATCTAAACTGTAGACTATAGTCAGATCTACATATGTATAGTCAAGACTTTAAACTAAAACATTGTTGTATTAAAAAGCATGAATATTTTTTAATTTATTACAAAACCTCAGTTAAATAATTATTATGTTTGAGTTGAATTTTTAACAATGTTTACATTGTTTATTGCATTTTCTCATTATAAAAAATTCAGTCAAGTGAAAATAGTTCATAATCAATTATTTATAAGAAAAGCAAAACAAAAGAAACTAAATAACTAAAACTAATAAATTTTAAATGTCAGTCATTTAAAATATATAATAAAAAAATCAGCCAAAGCGAATAATAAATATCTCATGACACAAATGTGGCACATTTCCTGAAACCGTTGCAAACCTTTAAAAAATCCTTGATTGACACAGAAAAAGATAAACCAATTCAATTTATTGGAAAAAAAAAAACAAAAACCCAGTGACCTACTTATTGCTAAAATTTACCGGTTTTTAGCTTTATATTTTTTTAATAAATTTTCAAAACCATTATTATTGAATGCTGTTTAAATGCAAGTAAGTTGGTAAAAGGAGTTTTTACCTAAAAAGTCATATTGTTTTCCGCTTGATTGCCTTGTTTGTGGTAAACACATGTTTTTTTTTTTTTTTTAATTTATTATTAAGAAAAAAACAACAATATAAAAAGTTGTAAAATGTTTATATTTTGCACGTTGCAAATTATCAACATTTTTAAAATTGAGCACTTTGCTATTTGAGTCGAGTATGTTGTTGTGTTAACTTTGATTCACTCTTAAAAATGCTTTTAAATGAGAATTAATTGTTTCATAAAATTTTGAGTGTTTTTGTATTTAAGACTTGTTTTGTTTTTGCTTAAATGTTGTAATGTTTTGAAAAATTATTTAGCAACATGTCATTAATCATAGAACCACTTCAAATGTACTTTGGTTGTAGTTTAAATTTAGCTTTAATTCAAATATTAACGTTTTAAGGATTTTTGTGTAATGAATTTTGAAAAAAAAAAACTTATACCATTTCTGAAGACGAAATTTATTCGCTATTTTGGTAAAGAGGCTGCTGCAGAATGTAGTTTCTATGAAATGTTTTGTTCCACAAGCTAGAAATAGATTGAACTATAGTTAAGATAATCGACTTTGAGCCTTTACTATAGATCAGTAGAACCTTGACTGTAAATCAATCCATAGTTTTAACATAGATTACTCCATAGTGCTGACTACAGATAAGTAAATAGTCTTAACTACAAATAAGATAAATAAGTCTTGACTATATATCAGTCTATAGTCTTGACTGTAGATCAGTCTATAGTCTTGACTGTAGAACAGTCTATAATCGTGACTGTGGTACAGTTCGAAGGCTTGACTATAGAATAGTCTATAGTCTTGACTATAGAATAGTCTACAGTCTTGACTACAGAATAGTCTATAGTCTTGACTACAGAATAGTCTATATAGATCAGTCTATAGTCTTGACTATATATCAGTCTATAGTCTTAACTATAGATCAGTCTATATAGTATTGACTACAGATCAGTCCATAGTCTTTACTATAGATCAGTCTATAGTCTTGACTATAGATAAGTGTATAGTATTGACTATAGATCAGTCTAAAGTATTGACTATAGATCAGTCTATAGTATTAACTATAGATCAATCTATAGTATTGACTATATATCAGTCTATAGTCTTGACTATAGATTAGTCTATAGTCTTGACTATAGATTAGTTTATAGTCTTGACTATAGATCAGTCTATAGTCTGGACTATAGATCAGTCTAGAGTATAGACTATAGATAAGTCTAGAGTCTAGACTATAGATCAGTCTACAGTCTAGACTATAGATCAGTCTGTAGTCTTGACTATAGATCAGTCTATAGTCTTGACTATAGATCAGTCTATATTCTTGACTAAAGATCTGTCTATAGTCTTGACTATAGATCAGTCTATTTTCTTGACTATAGATCAGTCTATAGTCTTGACTATATATTAGTCTATAGTTTTAACTACAAATCAGTCTATAGTCTTGACTTTAGATCAGTATATAGTCTTGCCTGTAGATCAGTATATAGTCTTGACAGTACATCAGTATATAATCTTAAACATAAGTCTTTAGTCATGACTTAGGTCAGTCTATAGTCTTAACTATAGATCCGTCTATAGTCTTAATTATAGATCAGTCTATAGTCTTAACTATAGATCAGTCTATAGTCTTGACTACAGATCAGTCTATAGTCTTTATTATAGATCAGTCTATAGTCTTAACTATAGATCAGTCTATAGTCTTGACTATAGATCAGTCTATTGTCTTAAATATAGATCAGTCTATAGTCTTGACTAAAAATCAGTCTTGACTATAGATCAGTCTATAGTCTTAACTATAGATCAGTCTATAGTCTTGACTATAGATCAGTCTATAGTCTTAACTATAGATCAGTCTATAGTCTTGACTAAAAATCAGTCTTGACTATAGATCAGTCTATAGTCTTAACTATAGATCAGTCTATAGTCTTGACTTTAGATCAGTCTATAGTCCTGACTGACCAGAATTTATATATAAGCGTCTAACACATCTTCATTGGCAATACATCATACAAATTTTTTTCTTTTCTTCCAGAACACAACCTCAAAATACCGCCTGTCAAGCCATGAAAGACAAAAGATGCTGTTGGACTAGAGGCAAGGTTATTGGCGGTAGTTCTGTGCTCAATACTATGTTATATATTAGAGGCAATAAAAGAGATTTCGATCAGTGGGCCTCGTTTGGTAATCCAGGCTGGAGTTATGAAGATGTCTTGCCTTACTTCCGTAAATCGGAAGATCAAAGAAATCCCTACTTGGCGAAAAATAAAAGATATCATGGCACGGGTATGTACTAACGCTATAAATATTTTCAGAACCTTTAATGAATCTTGAAAATTTCTTTTATTTAGGTGGCTTATGGACTGTACAAGATGCTCCCTATAATACACCCTTGGGACCAGCCTTTTTACAAGCTGGCGAAGAAATGGGTTATGATATAGTTGATGTTAATGGTGAACAACAGACCGGTTTTGCTTTCTATCAGTTCAATATGAGACGTGGTTCACGCAGCTCTACTGCTAAGTCTTTCTTGAGACCAGCACGTTTAAGGAAAAATCTTCATGTAGCTTTATTTTCTCATGTTACCAAAGTTTTGACTCATCCTCAGACCAAAAGAGCTACGGGTGTGCAATTTATACGTAATGGCAAATTACAAACAGTTTACGCCACTCGAGAAGTTATTTTATCAGCAGGAGCTATAGGCTCTCCACATCTTATGATGTTATCGGGCATAGGACCAGCAGATGAGCTACAAAGAGTCGGTTTGCCTTTAGTGCATCATTTGCCCGGTGTGGGTCAAAATTTACAGGATCATATTGCTGTGGGTGGCATAGCTTTTCTTATCGATTATCCCATATCCATAGTAATGAAGAGAATGGTTAATATTAATACAGCCCTACGTTATGCTATAACCGAGGACGGGCCCTTAACCTCTAGTGTAGGTTTGGAGGCTGTGGCCTTTATCAATACCAAATATGCTAATGCTAGTGATGATTGGCCTGATATGAGTTTTATGATGACTTCGGCTTCTGTTATGTCAGATGGTGGTTCTCAAGTCAAGGTGGCCCATGGTTTAACTGATGAATTCTACAATGATATGTACAGTGAAGTTAGTAATCGCGATGTTTTCGGTATATTCCCTATGATGTTGAGACCTAAGAGTAAAGGTTTTATAAAACTGGCTTCCAAGAACCCTCTACGTTATCCTCTGCTCTATCACAACTATCTAACCCATCCTGATGATGTTAATGTCTTAAGAGAAGGTGTTAAAGCGGCTGTAGCCATGGGTGAAACTCAAGCTTTGAAAAGATTTGGCGCACGCTTTTGGTCTAAGCAATTGCCAAATTGTCGACATTTACCTCACTTTACCGATGAGTATTGGAATTGTGCTATACGCCAGTATACCATGACAATTTATCACATGTCGGGCACTGCCAAAATGGGTCCACCCACCGATCCCTGGGCCGTGGTAGATCCTCAACTAAGAGTGTATGGCATTCCCGGCTTAAGAGTCATAGATGCCAGTATTATGCCCGCCATTACCAATGGCAATATTCACGCACCCGTGGTAATGATTGCCGAAAAGGGTGCCGATATGATTAAAGAACTTTGGCTAGGTTCTTCGCAATATCGCGTGCGGCGTAGTGCTGATGACAAACCCGATATTTGCAATATTACCGATACCTCAAGTAGTAGTTTAGGCTTAAATAATTTCGATGACATTTCGTAGCAAGTGTGTTCATAATTTAGTTACTTTTTTCCAAATAATATTTAGTTAGTTTATTAATTAATTAATTTGTTTAAAATTTGATATTTATTGAATTGAAATTTTTACCAGTTTTTTTATAAGCAATTTTTCATGATTTTTAGTCTGTTCGGTTACCAGTGAAGTTGTTTTCTTATAAAAGTTTTGTTAATTTTTTGTTTCTAGTTTTATTTAATTATTTTAAATATTTGTAAATATTTCAGTCACTTAATGTTACAAAACGTAATTTTTAAGTAATTTTTATTTAATTTTAAGTTTATTTTTAAATGATAAAGAAAGAAAAATAAATTTTTTAATTTAAATAAGAAAAATTTGTTAAAAAAAAGATTTTTATTTTTAACGGAATTGAAATGTTTTGTAATTGGAACTAGATTTTACTTTTCACTTTTTCACGGAAAACTTGAGATTTCTAAATAGGCTGATGAATTTAGTTCAGATCTATCAAATATTTGATGGGAAAGCTACTTATTTGATCTTAATTGTTTATTTTATCTCATATATAACTCATAAAATATACGCTTAAAAGTGATTAAGTAAAGCCAAATCTCGATTTTTTGGGGTAACGTCTTTTTTGTTAAATATTTGATGGATGTGAATTAAGCTTTAGATGCATAGATCTAACATCTTAAATATCTGATAAGTAGTATGGGTGTGGAGCAATAGACAGATTGTCTATTTTTCAAAACTTTTTGTTTGGACATTCTAAATCCGAATACCAACAATGTCCTTCAAGTCGAGTATATATACATACTTCTCAGATGGTTAACGGCACTGGATCGTAAATTTTCTCCTATGAGCTTAAATTGTTATTTTCCCCTGGTTTATTGGAAGACTTCGATGCACTGATGGAGTTTTAGTTTTTATCCGAGATATAACTAATTTGTTCAGGTTCTTTACAAGACTGGTTCCTTTGAAATCTATTTTACCTGTGACGTATTTACTACGACTAGGTGAGTAAATTATTTCAGGGTTTGATCAGAACACCAATCTTTTCTAGAGCCACTGCAGTCAGTAGCCCGTCGGAGTTGTCCTGTATTGGCTATTGATAAGATCTGTTTGGTATATATGTGGTAATACTTGGTTGAAACGCGGAAAAAATGTTGATTAAAGAACATAAATACATAAGGGTTCATAGGAACTCTTCTATATTGACTCAAATTAGTGATTCCCTCTTCTTTGTCTGGGTATTCATTGCGATTTATTCATGATGCCGGTCGTGCTGTGACATGATTACTATACTATGACAGGACTAAGATATCATCATAGTTACCAAACATGCAAAGCTTTTTCATGTACAAAAACGCGACCTGTGTGATTTTCTGAAAACATTCGAGTGGTGAACTGTAACTAGTCCAGCTTGTGGACGAAAAAGGCCAAGACTAATGACTAATTATAGAAAAAAAAAGCTCCAGATGCTCCGATGAGATAAATTCTCCAACTCTCGACGGCTAATTAGGAATTACCTATGACTAGGGAACGAATAAACGAAACGTACGATGCAAGCCGATGAGTGAAATTCAGCTCTAAAACGACGAAATACGAATTGGAAAAGTTTCTCAAATAGTTTTGACAAATACAAGGCAATGTGCTGATTGGTCTAAAGGATGACCATCAAATCCTTATCTGGTTTCGGTAACGGTATTATTTTGGAGTTCTCAAAAAACAACATAAAATTATGTTTATGATTTTCAGAACTAATATTTATTAATTCAGAACCTGCTTCTGTACTTTGTAACATCTAACACCCTAATACAAAGCTATTTGTGGGGGATTTGGTTGGAATATACTACTTAAATGTTCTGAGAATACTATGGCTTTATCCTTTGAACTTCGTGCCCAAGTTCCATTTAATTTCTTTATGGACTTTGGCCAATATATTTTAAGCTGTCTTTCAAAGGAAGACATTTGTGTGCTAAGTATTGCTTAAACTTTTAATAAAGTTTCGATTTACGTGATCTTCCGAATTAATACTTGATTTGATCAGGAATCTTTCAGGGATCAGAAGGACTATAAAATCTAAGTGGTTTCTTGACATGAGAAATTGAAATCTTCACTTTTCAAATATAACGTTTATTTTAAAATAAATGGAGTAAACATTTGATTCACCTTGTTAAATAAAATGTTTAGCAAAGACATCAACCGTTTATAGAAACTTACCGCATTTAGCAAGTTCACTATATACATAATAACGTGGGGAAAAGCTTACCTAAAATGAAAGAAACAAAAATATTAAATTAACAATGTTGTCAATGTTGGATTATATAAATATATATGACAAATAATGTTTAAGTTATAAGTTTCGTTATATTTTCGAAAATTTATTACAATTTAAAAGTGGCGAGATGTATGATATCGTAACATTCCTTAGAGTTCGACTTTGTCTTCCAAAGAAGAAATCACTTATACATGTCTAGTCTAGTCTAGTGTAGTCTAGTCTAGTCTAGTCTAGTCTAGTCTAGTCTAGTCTAGTCTAGTCTAGTCTAGTCTATAGTCTAGTCTATAGTCTAGTCTATAGTCTGGTCTATAGTCTAGTCTATAGTCTAGTCTATAGTCTAGTCTATAATCTAGTCTATAGTCTAGTCTATAGTCTAGTCTATAGTCTATAGTCTAGTCTATAATCTAGTCTATAGTCTAGTCTATAGTCTAGTCTATAGTCTAGTCTATAATCTAGTCTATAGTCTAGTCTATAGTCTAGTCTATAGTCTAGTCTATAGTGTAGTCTATGGCCTAGTCTATAGTCTAGTCTATAGTCTAGTCTATAGTCTAGTCTATAGTCTAGTCTATAGTCTAGTCTATAGTCTAGTCTATAGTCTAGTCTATAGTCTAGTCTATAGTCTAGTCTATAGTCTAGTCTATAGTCTAGTCTATAGTCTAGTCTATAGTCTAGTCTATAGTCTAGTCTATAGTCTAGTCTATAGTCTAGTCTATAGTCTAGTCTATAGTCTAGTCTATAGTCTAGTCTATAGTCTAGTCTATAGTCTAGTCTATAGTCTAGTCTATAGTCTAGTCTATAGTCTAGTCTATAGTCTAGTCTATAGTCTAGTCTATAGTCTAGTCTATAGTCTAGTCTAGTCTAGTAGTCTAGTCTATAGTCTAGTCTATAGTCTAGTCTATAGTCTAGTCTAGTCTATAGTCTAGTCTAGTCTAGTCTATAGTCTGTCTAGTAGTCTATAGTCTATAGTATAGTCTAGTAGTCTAGTCTATAGTCTAGTCTACTAGTCTAGGTCTATAGTCTAGTCTATAGTCTAGCTCTAGTCTAGTCTAGTCTATAGTCTAGTCATAGTCTAGTCTATAGTCTAGTCCTATAGTCTAGTCTATAGTCTAGGCTATAGTCTTCTAGTCTATAGTCTAGTCTATAGTCTAGTCTATAGTCTAGTCTCTAGTCTAGTCTATAGTCTAGTCTATAGTCTAGTCTATAGTCTAGTCTATAGTCTAGTCTATAGTCTAGTCTATAGTCTAGTCTATGTCTAGTCTATAGTCTAGTCTATAGTCTAGTCTATAGTCTAGTCTATAGTCTAGTCTATAGTCTAGTCTATAGTCTAGTCTAGTCTAGTCTATAGTCTAGTCTAGTCTAGTCTATAGTCTAGTCTAGTCTAGTCTATAGTCTAGTCTATAGTCTAGTCTATAGTCTAGTCTATAGTCTAGTCTATAGTCTTGTCTATAGTCTTGTCTATAGTCTAGTCTATAGTCTTGTCTATATTCTATGGTAGGTATCTTGGTTGGACATGACGAATCCAGAGAATGTGTCCTAACTATATCAGAATACTTTGGGAGCGAGGTTTTATCGGATATAACATCCCAATATTTTACAATGTTGCCGCAACAGCGCTTTTAATACAACTGATTCTGAAAAAATCATAGTTCTTGACATTAACAAATGTTCTTTTTATTAATAAACTTTAAAAATAATCATAAACTCCAACGTATTTCTGTTCTATATTTCTTATTCATTAATATTTATATACAGCAATCTGAACCAGTAATAAATTAAAGTCGAAATGATTAGAATCTATTACAACTGATAGAAATTAAAGATTCATTTTTACGCCACAATGCATTAAACAAGAGCGTTAACTGACTTCTAGTTAGTGCAAGCAAACTAAAATTATAAATAGTTATAGAATTTATACTAAACATTTAAACAATTACTTTGTTTCTGTTAAAAAGGAAGTGGAATTTTTATGGTTTTAAACAATTGCTTAAAAAATATAACTAAATAATAGATTGTTAAAATTGTTTTAAATGTTTTTAGCCTTGAGCTGATAATTGCATGAGTTTTAGCTATAAAATTAGAATTTGAAATGATTTTAAAACAATTTTTATAAAATATACAATTAAGAAAATTAAGAGAATTACAATTGAAGTTACGCATAATATTTGTTGATTTTCCTATAATAAAAACAAGTTAGAGTGCTATATTCGGCTGAGCCGAATCTTAAATACCCTCCACCAGCAACTTTTGTTTTAATACATTTCTAATTAATAAAATATTTGTAGAAATAAGTTTTCTCATGTCTTAAATAGAAAAATCCCAAGATTTAAACAGCTTAAATCTACTACAATTCCAAGATTTATTGAACATTAGAAACGCCACTTTCATTTAAATTTTTATAGCGCCCTAAGATATGCTTTAGCGATATCTCGTATTTGCATGTGTGCATGTGTGTGGAAGATTTAAAGATTTTAAAAATACATACATATATATAATTTTGTTCTACACAAATTGATAATGCAAATAGTTAAATACGGCTAAAGCGCTTTTAGGGGCAGGACCTAGTATGAGAGATATGACCAAATATAGACCGATCGTGAAAAATTTTTGAAATAGCATTAAGTGCTTTTTGCATTACAAAATAGTATTTATGAACAAAAATAGTATTTATTTATATCATTATTTGGTAATGAGTTATGTGCGTTTAAGTGATTTTCGGGAGGGGACCTTATATGGGTGCTATGACCAGTTA